AAGTGGTTTCATGATCTTGCTTCTGGCCGGATTACAATATGACCAATAATCATTACCTGCAATGCTTTGTTTTGTTTTCCTCAAAGCCTCTTGATGATTCATATCATCTCTACTCGGATGAAGACGTCTAGGACGTTTCTAGTCACCTCTGTAGTCTAACCTTGTAGACTCTGATAGAATGCCTCTCAGCGAAATTAATCGAACCAACGTCCTCCGATACGCCGGCAATAATCGTACCGGAGTTTAGCCCATTAATCTCATGTATAAATAGACTGACACTCATACTACATTGTCTAAGCGAAATGTCTGGCGCACTACAAATCTACGGTAACATTGTAATTTTGTGGACAGCCACTACTTGTGTTCCCCAGACACTCCTTTGATGAGATTTTCTTTCAGGCATGTTGACCAACACACTGGAGTCTCTCATGAGTTTAAACAGTGGTATTGGAGTCTCAAATATATGCTCGATTCTATTTATTCATGAGGACTCATTGCCATCAGGTTCAAGAAAGGCCTATGGTCGAGCGATAAGTCAGCGCCATGCAACACACGATGTCTCGTATCGACTGCTTGATGAACTTTAATCATACTTCCGGATGAATAGGCATTGGCTTCTCAGCTCGTGTCAGTGCAACATAGAACGGTGCAACCTTACCATGATTGTCGTTTCCCGCCGTTGTATGAACTCTGATTGCAGATCATATAAATTAAAGGATGCGACCTTGATGTTACTCCAAGCTGGCTCTTGACCAGAATTGAGTGACACGGTTGTACACACGACCACAAGCAGACACCTTACTTTCTTGTACTTAATTTCACGTGTCTGGCTGTACAGGCAGCGGAGCTAGACCAACACTACCTTATGTAGCATCTTCACCTTCGGCAGTGTATCTGAAGTTTAGGGTAGCAAGTCATATATGAAGATTCACAGAGCATGGATCGTTATACGACGACACTCTTGGCACTATTCGGTGCTCCAATGATTGGAGCGGAAGCGTAAACTTCACAACTGGGAATACTAAGGGTTCTAAGAACAATACTAGGACCAAACTGTCACATTCATGCATCGTATGACCCAAGTCCCTTATTGTCCTTCCTTTCTTGTAGGTGAAGTCCAATGAGAGACTGGGGTAACTGATTGATTGCCCAAGGTGAGGTTCCTTAACATTAATGAAATGAGGGTTTCGCATAATCGGGGTTTCAGATAGAGATACTTTGACATGATATGATATCCCGGCCAAACACAACAGCTTGTGTCGGATGCGATACTGGGAAAGGAGATGATACGAGGTGGTTTCGTCTCAGGTTACGAGTGCATGATTTCGAGTAGTAATTGAATCCTTCACGATGAATCTTTGCCAATACCTGAACGATGACATATTCAGCTTCAAAAGCGCTGACATGATAGAATCAACATGGGACACGATCTCACCAGGGCTGCAGTTATTGAAGGCTGTGTGTTAAGATCACCTGTCAGGGTTAAAGTGACAGGCAAGGTATTGGGCGTCAATGTCAATCATCTAGTGGCGAGGACCACAATGATGTTGAAAATATGGGGGTATCGGACATCGGCTCTGCAATGAGGCAACCGGCCGAATTGCTAGACGAGTCTACGAGAATATGGAAACATCACAGTAAAGAACGGAAAGGAACCGTGAAGGAACAGATACACGAGGTATCAACCGAAAACGTCAAGAAAACCGAGATGATTGACATGCTCATGTCGATCACCTCGTGTCGGTGTGAATCCACGCGAAAAGAAAACGTCTATCACTCGAATGGGGAAGCTTGAGAAGAAAATACCGCGCGCCAGAACGCCCTTTGCTCAAGGGCAATCAATACATCGATTGGATGGTTCGGTGAACATCTCGAGGTTCTGAAACTCAGGGTCAGTTTTAGACCAAAGGGGGGCTTTAGCTTGGCACTGCGAGGAGAGTAAGGATCTGAGATAGACGGATGTGATGAGCAGAAGCAAAAGACAGGGCCTGAAATGAGGATTTGCGAAACATTCTCTTGTTGGGATGATGTTATCTTGGTGCTGAGTGTGTATATCGTCTGTTGGTGATGAAAATTGTCAGCCAATTTGGCATGACGCAGTTTCACTTGGCTGTATCGCATAAGGACATGTCTTATGCCAGCGGATAGAATGTTTCGCTCCAGATGATGAATGCGGCAGAGTGAAACAGAGGATTGAGAAGTCAGAAACAAATCAGAGCAAGATGCACTTATGGAACCGTACAGTGACCAAACCTCAACAATGCAATCAATTAACGACAGGCACAGGCATAACCCGCCCGCGATGACATTCATTCATCAATCATCTTGCATCCCTCTTTCAGGGACCATCAAGCGCGCCCCCCAGATCGAGCGTTACAGTGAGAGGGGCGGCAGGGCATTTGATTCGAGCTCAAAAGTCCGGCCTAAACCCTTTGGAGGCCTAGAGCGGTAGAGCCCTGAATGGTCATATGAGTGAGTAACTAAGCGGCAATTGGGCTGGGCGAGAATGCCAAAAAATGGCCGACGGGACTGCCAAGGGCTAACTCAGGTAGGCCATGGTGAAGAATAAAATTAGAACACGTTATCGAGCTACGGACAGAGGCGATATCATGTGGCAGGCTGAGCCTCCAGTGCCATTGGTATGTTATGCTTCGCTTTAGCTCTAGACCTCGTGATGAGGCTCATGTTTTTCTCTCTTAGGGTTTTCGCTATCTTTCTTTTTTTGCAACGTTGCTGCTACTGTGCCAACATGGATTGCCCAGATCAAGTGGGAATAGTGACGTCGAGGCGGGTCGAAATCTATTCTTTGATCAATGAACCCATTCTAAACTGTTCTGGATCAACACGGACTCTCGGGAAAGATGGAGAATGCATACGTGCATGGGTTCGATGGAAACTCGGCACTGAACCGGGCTCAAGCGAGGGTGAGTGTCTGTCCCTCTAGCAGGGCAGAAGCAATAGAGGCCACTGCCCTTGGCTCATCGCTTTGATAGTGCCAATGCTTGACCAAGAGAAGCAATTTGGGGGAATACGATGCCTAATCTGATACCCCAACCCAATACATCAGTGAGTGAGCGACTTGGGCCTTGGGGTGCTCACTGCTAGTGACATACGCCAAGCAGACTATCTTGGGCGCAATCTCGTGTTGCTTCTGTCACGGTCCATGTTGAGAACGACCAAAGCAGTCTGCGAGTTCTCAGAGATACAGCACAGAACAGCAACGTTGAGTGGAGGATGCGGAGGATTGTTAGTCAAACCAAAACCCTGGGACACTCTCCCTTCCATGCATGAACCAGATGCTGTGCGACACCTTCTGACAAGTTGACTCGAAAGAGGTGCAGCTCCAGCTCCTTCAGGGGTCCAGACTAGGCCGGAATAGCTCGAGATAGTCTGCGCCTCTCGTTTGGCATTACCCACCCATTTCCATCCTGTCTCTGCCCATGCTCATTGCTCAAGGCCCCCCCCTGTTCCCCCATTTCCCTTATCAGCACAAGGCGAAGGGCTAACGGAAAACTTGCCGAGCAATTCAATATCGTTACGAATCATCAAATGAATCTGCATGTCTGTAAAAGGTTGGGGGCAGAGTGCTCGTATTCTGCTGCCCCTCGTTGGAATTTTGGTGGTTATTTCCAGCCTCTGCCATGCCTTTTTCCGAAACCAGACACTGCGTTTAGGGAGGTTTGACTTACGAATCTCAAGACGGTGCGTGTCAGAACAGGGTGATCGTCAGGAACTGCGTGCCTCTGACTGGCTGACGTGTGAACGAGCTCTGCTTCAGGAAAAGACTTGTCTAGAGCGCTTCGTCATCACAACATTCACACTCAAACTCGAATAAACAATTTTTTACAAAGAATGATCTGAGGACTATACGAAAACTACAAACGTCATAGTTCATTGATCTCCAGCGTCTCTCCACCCACTGCCACAGTCACAGCAGATCTCAACGGGTTGATGCTCGAGTCCGTATAGTAAAGTGCCTTTAGTGTCTGATTGACATGGTGATCGCCTGTACCAAGAAGCTAAGAGTTATCGGTACGGGATATTGGCCATGTGAGAATTCGTATTGTGTCCAAGTGTGGATGCGAGTTAGCTCAGGCGACCAAAAGCCAAGATTCAGTTTGCCGCAGTGATTCATCTCGCCAGTTTAGGTGATGCTATCTAAGGATATTGTCACTCGGATGCACTGAACGGTAGATCGGCATCTCATAGTGGGCTTCTGAGCGAGTCGAGTGCTTTGTGTTGTGCTGATGCTGTGTTACCCTAGCCACAAAGAAAGTGGCTTACATCAACCAACTGTCAGCTTTTTTTCCTTCCCGAAGGCCCTCCCTCACCGTAATAATTTCTCATCACCAACTAAGCACCTAAACTCACTGGCTCACAGTAGAAACCGCCGGTTCTGGATCGTGGCGGTTTCTTGTCTCAGCCGCCAACTGCCTAACGCCCAGAAATGTCTTGTTCTTGGGTGAATCATGTCTCGCTCGAAACCGGAATCTCAGTGGGAAAGCCCATGTTCTGTGGCATGACAGGGGCACATGGATCAATAACGAGCCCCTAGCTGCCCCTAAGACGAACTTGGCAAGCTCCAAAGCTCGGCTTCCCTTGGCTGCCAGGATCAGGGTCAGGGGTTGAGGCTCCTCCAGATCCACCCGGACCCGAGGCGCCTCTAGTCTAGAGACGTCTCTAGTCGTCTACAGGCGCCGAGACAGACGGAGGGCGCTGCCATTAAAACACCAACGCCTCCATTCACTGACCTGAACCTCTTCCTCTCTCAGTTTCACTATCTTCATACCTTTTAATACCTCTTCACCTCAGTTTACTGTCTTTTGCTTACTATTATATACACTCTCGCTCAGGTATATACCTTGACCTATTACACATACAACTTACAAGTGGTCGTCACTCCATCGCTCAAGACACCTCTTGATAACAACTCAACACCTTGAATTTGAAATTCACAACAAGCTTACAACAGCAATCACACATCACAAATACACGATACAATGTTCTCAAAAGCTTTCACTACTGCCACCATGGCTCTTGCCTGTGCTGGTATGGTTTCTGCCCAGACCTTCACTGACTGCAACCCATTGAAAAAGAGTGAGTAGATATTTGCTACAGACATCATGCACAGACACTGACATTATCACAGCATGCCCCGCTGATCCCGCTTTTGGCGATAACGAGGTTGACTGCGACTTGGCCAAGGGTGCATGTGATGCCTTCCACGGCATGATTGGAACCGAACTCAAGTACAGCGACCGCGGTGCTCTATTCCGCATCAACAAGGAGTCCGATGCTCCTACAATTCGATCCGACAACTACCTCTTCTTTGGTCGTGTAGATGTTGTCGTCCAGGCTGCCAAGGGCCAGGGCATTGTTACCTCCGCTGTTCTTCAGTCTGACGACCTCGACGAGGTTGACTGGGAGTGGGTTGGCGGCGATGATGCTCAGGTCCAGTCTAATTACTTCAGCAAGGGCGATACCACTACATACGACCGTGCTCAGTACCATGCCGTTGCTGCTCCTCTTACCACTACTCACAAGTACTCCATTGAGTGGACGTCCACCAAGATTGACTGGCTCATTGATGATGCTGTTGTCCGAACTCTGAACGCTGCCGATGCCCAGGGCGTCAATGGTTTCCCTCAGACTCCTATGCAGGTCAAGCTTGGTACTTGGGTTGCTGGTGGAAAGAACAGCAACGAGGGTACCCGGGAGTGGGCTGGTGGCTACACTGACTTCGACGATGCCCCCTTTGATGCCTACTACCGCAGCGTGACCATCATTGACTACGCTGGAAAGGACGCCCCTGGCCAGAACAAGGGCGCCAAGCAGTACGTCTACACTGACAAGACCGGTGACTGGACCAGCATCAAGGTTGAGAAGACTTCGTCCGATAACGACGATGACAAGACCAGCACCAGCACCACCGTCTCTAAGGTTTCCAAGACCACTAAGACTGCCGAGCCTACCAAGACCAAGACTGCAGAGGCCACCACCTCCGCCGTTGAGACCACCAGCGCTCACGAGTCTAAGACCAAGTCCGCTGAGAAGGAGTCCAAGACCGAGTCTGCCAAGGAGACCAAGACCTCCGAGGTCGCTACCACCTTTGCCACAGCCACCAGCACCAAGGCCGAGGCTACTGCCACAGCCACCGAGGGTTCTGGTTCCGGATCTGAGTCTGACGCTGGTGCCGGAGCTGCCACAGCCACTGGCTCTGGCGCTTCTCCCTCCGAGCCCGCCACCACTCCCGTTCCTGTGAACTCTGGCTCTCGCATGGCTGGTAGCGTCGTTGCCGCCTTCGCCGGCCTCATGTTTGCCCAGATCCTCATCTAGATCTTCACTTCTGCTTCTACAATTACTTCTTTCAGGGTCACTGTAAGCATGTAGAGCTTCACAACCTACACGCGGAAAGCAGACCATTCTAATTACCTTACTTCGAGTCGATCCTTACATGCTTGCCAAGGCAACCCAACCTTTTCATCACTCGGAAGTATTTTTTTCTTTGGAATGAGGGCGACTTCATGACAAAGAAAGAGACGGGCAAAGGAAAAAAAGGCGCTAGAAAAATCACAACAAAAACAACACATGGGAAAAGGGCTCTTGGCAAGCAAACATCACGTTTTTGAACAACAAAACCTAGCGATTTTTAATGAGGACCTGCTCTCTTGAGCCCGCCGAGACGGACCAAAACTTGGCTTCAAGCCAAGCGTCTTGGCCCAATCTCCCTTTGGGGAGATATGCACAGGGCATATGATGGACGAGCTTGTGATTTTTTGTACGAAAGCTTCAACTAGAGATGGACTATGACACATTGACAGAGGAAGACAGACATGGCTTGGATGAATTACTACTTTGGATTGGTTTGGATGACGCATTGCATATTATTAGATGCCACTTTTTACGCACGATACCTTTTGCAGATAGAATCTGTTTTTCGAATGGAATAGAAGCAGCACATTTTGCTGAAACCATCTTTTGGCTTGTTTACTTTTAGTGATGTACTTTGACGTATACGAAATGGAGTGAGTCTGTGCTGCATTCAGCCAAAGGCTGGGCGGCTTGTATTGGAGGGTTGTACGTGCATATGCAGAGTAAAGGGTGATATGCAAGGGCCGTGTAACAAAGAGGAGGTTCCAATCAAGGGACTAAGGGACTATCAACACCCAAGATATTGCCAGTGGCCAAAGAGAAGACGCCAAGACTATCGATCTGCTGAGTTGAGGAGTTGGCGGACGCGTAATCTTGAGCTTATCTGTGATCGTCAACTTGAGGGAAATTAGAGTGCTTGGCTGAGAAAATAGCATTGTTTGGGCTGTGAGGGTGTGCTCAGAAATGCGGCTGGCTGAAGGGAGTGAGACATGGCTGTTGTTGTCTCTGGTTGAGCCGCATATTTTGGCGGAAGTGCTTCCAATTGGATCTCCTTTATTTGCATCTTTGCTTCTTGCATCACGAGTTCTCAGGAGTGCAAGTGAATAAATGTTAGCTGACAACTGCACTGATTATGCATCCATGATTCCAAGGTTTATCACAAAAGGGATAAGCGCAAGGATTCCCCGTGTGTGGGTGGAGCGGATATGCAGGTACCCCAAAGGTTATCGCCATTCAGTATAAAAGCCCCCCCCCCCCCGCATCCCTGCAACTTACCCCGAAACTTCAATGTAGCAACACCAGACTTTCTCTTTTAAAGTGGCATAGAGATCAAGAGCTGAACCTTTTATAAGGCGTAATTATCTAAAATCCCTTCGAGAGAGGATCCTAGAGATAAATTGATCTGTGGTGGTCGGACGGTTAACAGCTGAACCCACTGACCACCAAGAAAGATTCATCTCACTTTTTTCGCTGTGAAGCTTATGTGTTCGAATTGTGCAAATTTTGCTTTTTCATCTTAGCTGCGTTATGTATTCAATTGATTTCCCTTTGGTTTGTTGACTTAACACTTTTCTCCGAATTCTCTAGTGTCCTAGATCCTTGGTATCTTAGTCTCAAAGAGAGTACATATTACACACGTGCAAGATGACCATGACTTCATTGAACTCGTTACCATTTCGACTCCATACTGTTTATATAGCGTAGAAACACCGAAAATTGTAAGCGGCATTGTCACTTTATCAAGGTCTTGCAGAAATGGTTCCAAGTTATGTAGTTATCATTCCCGACAGAGAGATAATGCAACTAGCTAGCTCTTAAAGAGCCAACGGTGCATACAACTCCAGGTGATAGTAGTTAATCCTGTTTTACAGTGACTGACACTGGAGGTCAGTGCAAGGGGTTTATCACTTGGTCACCAGAGATAGGGTGACATCAAGGAAATAGACCGATGCCAGCAGAGTTCGATACCTATCTCTGTAAAATCTCCTGAACGCCTTTTTCCAGCAGAAAGCATTGAATTAACCCCTTTAGGAGTAATGCTTGTTTAACACCTAGTGTTGCGTACCTACTTCGACTGCTCGAATATAATACTCACTTGCATGAAATATGGTCAAAAAGCTTCCTAAAGCTCCTGAACAAGCATCTCTTCAGCCTCGACCACTTGTGACATCAAAGCCATTGTATAGAAAGTTAAATCAGAAACAAAAGTCTAAATTCGGACACATAGGCTTGGTAGACAATGAGCTGAGTATGCCCGCAGCGACAGTAACCTAGCATCAACTGGGCCCTTCACTTTGCATGCACAACAACAGCGAAACTGATGCACCTGGCATGCGCCTCGAGTTGCGTGTTGAAGTATACTCCTGTTAATTTTTGACTCATTAAACTTCTCTTTGCTTCCATATCTCTCCCCTTCTCCCTCTCTCAAGCCCACCAGCATTCGCGATACCTGTTATATAATTCACACTCCGTTGGCTTCGGAGAAGCAATGCGATTGACTTGGTAGATAATCTTTTGCTCAAAAAAAGAATTAATGACTGTATGACTACATAAAAATTAATGCAGATCTAGTGTATCAATTATGTTTCTCTGGTAACTTTACCTTGAGCACCTACTATTCTGTATATTCATTGTATGACTCTGTATCACAGCTTTGTGATGTGAGTCGCATTATCTGACGATGAATCGACCCTGATGACCCAGGGATTATCCCCGAGCCTTCTCTCTAAGGTCTCTTCAATATACTGTTGGTTATGCTGCTGTTGACAGTGATAGTGGCATCAAGCTTGCCTAGCATGGGAAGTGTGTACAGCACCAGTGCGTTTATCAGCATAACATACCTAAGGTAGGTAGTAGCCAAAGCGTCAAGTGGAAATATGACGGAAAGAATTGGCGAGTTAGGTTAGTAACCAGGTAATATCATGGTCAGGTATTGTCCTCATCTCGCTCCTGTCGTGAATACAACGGCTCTGTGTCCCAGACGCTGCATCGTTTCAACTTGCTATCCTGAGCCATGAAAGTCTATCTGAGATAAGTCAGTAGGTCTTTACCTACATGGAGCAAGGAAATATCAGGCCTGATATAACGTATCAAAATAAATTCTGCAAAAGGTATCCTAAATTTATACCAAGTTACTTAAGTTCTGTCTTTTTATCCTAAACGTATCCTAAATTACTTAAGTCTTTTTATCTCTTAGGATCGAGGCCCTAAGCTTTATTTTCTCCTAGAGGAAGTCTCGAGGATCTTTCTCACTGAGGCATGCCTTCCTGATTGATATTACCTACTAAGGTAGGGAAGCCACATCCTTGATCTCTACAGGTACCTTAACTACTTATATTGGATCTCCCCATCTTCTCTCTCTTGTCCCTGTTTCAACCTCCCATCCTTTTGGAACAAATATTATCACAGTATATTCATATTCAATACCTACCTATTTCATCATGGTTGCTGTTCCTCCTCACATCCTGCGAGCTATCTCGAAGAGTAAAGCAGCAACTGCTGAGCACCGAGAGATAGCACGATCATCTCTTGCACACACAGAACAATTCTTGAAAGACTGCCAGAAGCGTCGGGAGCAGTTTTTGAAAACGTACAACCTAGTTCAGAGGCAGATGATTGTTCCTCCTGAACTCTTTCGAAATGTCATCGCTTCAGATCAAGCCGACAGTGCTCAGCGTACAAGGGCCAAACAAGGCCTTGACCATCTTGAAACCATTATCGGAAAAGTCAGAGGGGCACAGCAGGCTCTGGGCTCTTCGCAGCCCACAGAACCCGGCACCTCATATGCCGTCTCATCGCTAACTGCTACGAACGACCCTCCTTACCGTGCTGTATACGACATACACGAGAGTTCAAACGAGGGTGAACTCCCTGGCGACCTCATTCGTGACAACGGGAAGAAGGAAGCTGAATCAACCAAGCCATCTTCTGATAAGGCTGTCAATGAGGCTTTCGACAACGTCGGACTTGTCTTGGGTTTCTACAAAAAGTTCTTCCAATGGCTGTCAATCGACAACAAGGATATGGACGTCATCAGTACTGTTCACTTCGGTAAACAATACGAAAATGCTTGTGAGTAGCAATCGCAGTGGTCTTGACTTCTACTAACACTATCTATCTAGTCTGGGACCCAGAAAAGCTTCAGATGGTCTTCGGCGACGGCGGCGAGTTTCTCAACAACTTTACCGGATGCATCGATGTTATCGGCCATGAGCTCACACACGCAGTTACAGAGCACACAAGTCCTCTTGACTACTATGGTCAGGCCGGTGCTCTGAACGAGCATGTCTCGGATGTGTTTGGCATCATGGTCAAACAAAGAGTTCAGGACGAGAAATCGGATGTTGCAGACTGGCTAATTGGTGAAGACTGCATTCTTCCTGGAGTCAAGGGCACTGCTCTGCGAAGCATGAAGGAGCCTGGAACTGCCTACGATGATCCCGTTTTTGTAAGTGCAAGCTCCTTTCCACCCATCCACCTGCTAATGCATGTCTCTCAGGGCAAAGATCCGCAGGTTGGACACATGAAGCAGTTCAGGACAACATATGAGGATAACGGCGGAGTCCACATATATTCCGGGATTCCCAACAAAGCGTTCTATCTGGTTTCTGTGTCGTTCGGAGGATACTCTTAGGAAAAGGCTGGCAAGATCTGGTGGGCAGCTTTGAGGTCAGGCAAAATCCCTCCCAAGTCTACGTTCAAGCAATTTGCAACTGCCACAGTTGACTGTGCGAAAGAGCTTTTCGGGTCGGCTGATGCGGAAAGAGTCAAGAAGGCTTGGCTAGATGTCGGTGTTGACAACGGCGTCAGTACTGATTCAAGTGGAGGTTGGTGCAGTATCCTTTGACGAGATTAGGTGAAGCTTAGAAGATATCATACAACATTACCTAGTATGCACAGAACCTAAATTATACTAAACTTCCCTAAGCCTTATCAGAGTTATCTTAGTCTGTCGTCCCGTGTTT